CTCAGACGGATAACATTGGCCACAGCAAAAAGTTCAAATTAACAAGCTTTAATTCGCATTTTCTCTGTAAAAATCGATAGTCTACACATACATCCAGGCAAGACATCACATATATAATCAAAAATAAAGTTAATCTCCATTCAGATTTACAGAAATATGGTTTTCTGGTTCCCAGCAGGCCAACTGGTACCAATTTTGTACGGTAGCTCCTCATTCAGAACAGGTTTGTGATTCTTGTGTTTAGTTTTATATCGAGTTTGGGTTTTTTAGGGGTTTTTTTAGTGTCATTTTCCGATTGTAGTTGTATTACTGCTGGTTTCGGATAACCTGGGTAATTTATGCTGACAAGAGATTGTTCCTGTTTTCATTTCACTTTTAAAAGAAAAAAAAAGGGTGTTTGTTCCATTTAAAAAAAAAAAAGAAATGATTCTCAGAAGAACGGCCGAGACGAGCTAAAAGAGAGTCTGCAAGGCTGTTCTGGAAACAGGAACCCACAGGTATGGATTTTCTATGAGGAAATGTTGTAATCATCCGACCCTCCCTGGATGAATCAGCCAGAAAAAAAAAAAGAAAAAAAAGCTGTATTTTCTCTTCATCTGCACTTTAAACGTGACTCATTTGGGATTCGTCACTTGTACTTTCACGCACTTCCTCGGATGCGTGTTTAAACCGGCCCGTGTTTGCTTTGGAGTCCGAAACCCGCCCGTTTTTTTAAATCCGGGATGGAGTCAGAGTAACTCCGAGAATCCTCCGACCTCAAACACAATTTTCCTGTGTTTGTTGGTGCGATGTGGCTGAAACATCATCTGCGGAGCCTCAGCGATTCGGCGGTCGAAGCCCAACGCTCCCAGGGACGTTTTTTGGACAACGCGATTCGAATCCTTCGCTGGCTAATCAGGAACAGGGTCGAAAAATGTCAAAACAATGGGAGCTTCCAACAAAAGTAAAAGCGCTCCGCTTTTGCTGAAACCCTCCCAGGATGTTCACGTTCTGTAAACTGGGAGCACAACTCGTTTGGCTTGGCCCGCCTTCCTCGTCAGTTT